TTTCCCCATCATATTTAAAAGACCTCACTTTTAGCCCTCTTATTTCATGTTTGTATGACCTATTTCTTGCATTAGATTTTATTTGATTTTCTTTGTTCCATGGAGACTAGTCACTTTTATGCCGCCATTGGAAACTGTCCAATAACATATATCCTCTTTTTTTCCTTTTTTATTTTTTTGAACACCAGTTTGCAGTTAAGTGAAATACGTGTTCAGGAAAAGATAACATCACTTGTTAAACAGCACATCCCCGACGCCAAATTATCAACAGAAAGTGAAGGAAAACTTGTTTATACATTACCCTTAGAAAGAACGAATAAATTTCCAGGTAATGTACATGAACACCATGAAATAAAATATATAAATAATACTCATCGATAATAATGATAATAATTATAACCAGCATTTATTGAGAGCTTACAACGTGTTCTGGTATTGAAACATGATCAAAAGAATAGTACTATCACTGGATTATTTTATGTATGGTGGGAACTTATTGAGAGCTTACAGTGTGTTTTGGTATTGAAACATGATCAAAAGAATAGTACTATCACTGGATTATTTTATGTATGGTGGGAAATATTATATTCTAATAGCTGCGTTATAATGCCTGGGCATTTTACAGGGCTTCTTTTAGTTAGTCCTTTTTCCTTTTGAAGAGTGTTGCAAGATATTCTAGTATTTATAACTGTACGTGACCACAAATGGTTGAAAACCTCTAGTTTAACTACGGGGCTTCTTTTAGTTAGTCCTTTTTCCTTTTGAAGAGTGTTGCAGGATATTCTAGTATTTATAACTGTACGTGACCACAAATGGTTGAAAACCTCTAGTTTAACTACTATGTTAGACAGCCCCATCATGTGGCTATTTCTCTTGGCAAGACTTTTGTGACAACTTTGGGTTTTCAGGTTAATAGATAAAAGTTAACGAGTTATATTTGTCATTCAGGGAATCTATTCTCTGGCAATGGGATGCTATGAGGGCCTACATGGTGTGGTTGAAACAATTAACCTTGCCATATGTGTGGTTAACAAAAATATATAAACTATCCCACAAGGTCATTCAAAAGTACATTTTATGGTGACAGCACAAGCATTTCTTAGAATCAATCAGACAATGTGTTAACCAAACCCTAATTAGTGCATTTTAATAGTAACTATAATGTAGAGGAAGTTTATAAAGGTTTTAAGTAGAATGAAGAATGGCACATAATACTCATTAGCAATTTAAATCTTACTTCTGTTCCACCTTTCTGTATATGGCATTCTAGTCGAGACAAAAAGCTTTTAACTTACTTTTTCTGCCCACGTATTGAAGCCTCAGGACTTCCAAAATCACCATAGGATTTAGAATTAGCTTTTTATTTAAGCTTCAATTAATTAATCAGTAATTTAAATGCATGCAGGCAGGAACATTGTTCATTGTTTTATGAACAAAGACTAATACAAAAGTATTTTTTGGTGAATGAACTAAAGAATGAATGGATATAAAATTGCTAGAGAAAGTAATCATTATCACAATTCCCTACTATTCCAAGAAAATTCCCTCACTCAATTCTTCGTTCTGTGTCTATTAGATCTTGTGGGGTTTCCTCCCATTGTCGGAAATAGAAATTTTCTTAAAATAAACTGTATTCTAGTCTTTCTTTTGACATATATTTTCTGCAGTGAACAGTATTCTGCACTATCCAACTAATTCTCAAAAAATTATTTCTTTCCCTTTTGTTGGTTACAGCATAAATGGCTGCCACTTGCATCTGTTCTCTGGAAAAAACTCTCCACTTAATTAGGCTTCGGGTTGAGAAGTCCAAAAGTTCCACAATTATAGCATTTTAAAAGCAAGTCAGAAAAAAACTAAAATAAAATTTTAATAGAAATATAAATTAATATGAATTAATATTTAATCCTAAGAAAATAATATTTGGGTTGTAACACATGATGTAAAATTTTTTTAAATAACATATAGATTTGGAAGAATAAGGTTACATATTATGGAATGTTAGTTTTTAAAATGTCTTTGACATATTACAAGTAAAATTTCATCTGTTTGCACTCTTTAGTTTGAAAAGTTGTACTCAGCTTGCTTGTGATTTTTATTATTTTGATTCATCACTGTGTGTGTATTCTTTAGAACTTTACAAAGATCTTGACAGCTGTCCTGGCCTGGGAATTGAGAACTACGGTGTTTCCATGACAACTTTAAATGAAGTATTCCTGAAACTAGAAGGAAAATCAGCAATTGATGAATCAGGTAAAAAAAAAAAAAAACTGCATGAAAATTATCATGTAAAAGTACTCACAACACCCAGTGCAGTATATATTTCAAGAAGACAATGTCCCAAAGGCAGGATTACAAAATATGGGTTCCATGAGTAAGACCATTCTTAGACAAACTTATGTAAAGATAATATGCATTCCTGCCAATGTTGCCTTGTCATTAAAGATATCCCATTTTTCTCCAACCAAGACTCATTGCCCTCATCATATACCCAGCCTTCCAAGAGCAATTTTGTACAAAACACTTATTCTAAATCTCTTTTGCAGACTTTGAATATGTCACTCTCTCGCCTGCTGGTCTTCATGGCTTCTGATGAGAAGTCAGCTGTTAATCTTATTGAGAATCTTTTATTTATGTTGAGTTGTTTTTCTCTTGCTGCGTTCAAAATTCTTTTTGTCTTTGGCTTTTGACAGTTTGAGTGTGATGTCTTTAGTGTGGCTCTCATTAAATGTATCCATCTTGAAGTCTGTTGAGCTTGGATGTGTAGAATATGTATTTACAGAACTTCATTTGTCATGTGGAGAATTGTATAAATATCAATTAGGTTGAGTTGGATGATAGTGCTGTTCACATATTCTGTGGTCTAAAAAATACTTTTGCTGACATTTTCTACCAGTCATGAGTAAGGGATATTAAAATCTCCAACAATAATTCTACATGTGTCCAGTTTTACCTTTTTTTCCCATTAGGTAAGTTTTTATTTCATGCACTTTGAATCTCTGTTATTAAGCACATACATATTTATCATTAGTGTGTCCTCTTTATGACTTGCCTTCATTATCATTATAAAAGGTCCCCTTTTAACTCTGATAATGGCACTTATCCAGAAGCTCAATTTATCAAATATTAATACGGTACCTCAATTCAGTATGATGTGTGTTTGCATGGTATATTGTTCCACCTGTGCTTTTAAATTAAGCAGTATATAGTTAAATTTTGCCTTTTAATATATCTTACAATGTATTTCATATAGGTGGTGTGTTTAGTCCATTTACTTTTACTGTGGTTATTGCTATTGTTATATTCAAATTTATCATATTGGTCCCTTCTGTTCTTCATGCCTCTATTCCTTCCTGCCACATTTTGTTTATTATTGGAAAACCGTTCTATTTCCACATTGCCCGTTTAACTCTATTTCTTTATGTTTTTTTTTTTTATGGTCACTATATATATAACAATAGGAATCTTTACTTATAATAGTCTATATGACTATATGATTGTATCGCTTCACCCAAAATGTTAAGTACCTTCAAATAAGTACACTTTATTTCGTCCTTTTCCTTTCTGTGAATCTGTTTTAGTCTATTTTATTTCTGCATATATTACATATCTTATTATACATTGTAAGTATGTATGCTTTCCAGTTACTATTATTCTGTAAACTAAACACATCCAGCCAATCCATGCATATCTATATATCTATATCTATTTGTCTGTAGACATATAGATGATAGATAGATAGATAGATAGATAGATAGATAGATAGATAGATAGATAGATAGGAGACAGAGAGTCAGATTTTAATGTTCTATTATATTTGCCCATGTATTATCCCTTTGGGGGACTCTTAATTCTTTCTTCAGATCTCACCTTTTATCTGGTATAATTTACCTTTAGCAAAGAACATCCTTCAGCATTTCTTGTTTGAAGTTCTTGAGTTTTTTGGGTCTGTGGATGAATTTATATTGAGCAAAAAAATTTTCAAAATTAATAGAAAATAACCTACAGATTCAAAAAACTTAAGAACCCTGATGGAATTTGCATGTGTTGTCCCCTCCAAAACTCACGTGGAAATTTGATCTCCAATGTGGCAGTGTTGGAAACTGATTGAGTCATGGGGTGGGGGGAGATCCCTCATGAATGGATTAATGCTTTCCCCAGGGGAGGGGGCGATTAGTGAGTGAGTTCTCACTGTGTTAGTTCCCATGAGAGCTGGTTGTTTAAAGGACCCTGGCACCTCCTCTCTCTCTCTCTCTCTCTTGCTTCCTCTCGCCATGTGATCTGCTTGCACCCGCTGGCTGCCTGCCGCTTTCTGCCATGAGTAGAAGCAGCTTGAGGTCCATGCCAGATGCAGCTGTCCCAGAATCGTAAGCCAAATAAACCTCTTTTCCTTATTTATAAATTACCCAGTCTCAGGTATTTCTATTATAGCAACACAACATGGACTAAAACAAACCTCAAACAATATTTTTTAAAAATGGAACTTTCAAATCCCTATAAACCAGTGAAAAAGTCTTAGATATTTGATACTGTCCCACAGATCTCAGAAATTCTGGTAGGTTTTTCCTTCTTTATTTTTATTTGTGTTAGAAACTGGACAATGTCTATTTATCTGTCCTCAGGGTCACAGATCCCTTCTCCTGTGTTCCTGTTTTTTTTGAAGCCCAACAAATAAACTCTTCATTTCTGATACTGTATTTTTTCATTCTAACATTTCCATTTGTTCTTTTTAATAGTTTCAGTTTCTCTACTGTAATCCCTCAACTGTCCACTTATATTGTCCATATTTTTCAGTAGATCTCATAACATATTTATCATGGTTTTTTTTAAACCTATGTTAATTCCAACATGTGGACCATGTGAATAACAGCCCATATCAGTGATTGGTTTTTTCTCCTTTTTATGGGTCAAATTTCCCTACTTCTTCACATCTTGTAATTTTTTTTATCTTGACCATTACTGTAAAAAAAATAAATAAATACCGAAGTAAGCAATGCCCCAAAATGGCATGACTCTTACTCCATCGGTCTGCTGATGTGGGTGGCTGAATTGATCTAATTTGTATTTAACAAGTACCTGTGCTTTTGCACAACTTTTATTAGATTCAGTTCACCCCCAGCTTCAAATGTTTTGAAGGTAGAATCAGGGGTTTTTTTCCTTCAGAATGATTTTGAATTATATTACTAGGAAAATGCATAGATCTCTCTATGATATACAGCCCCCACTACCCAATAACTCAACTACAGGAGAAATCTCATCCTGCCACCACTTTTTGTTTATTTTATTTATTTGTTATTCGTCTATATACATCTGTCTGCTTTCTTGCCCGGTGATGGGCTTTTGGTGAACTGATGTATTCCCCAAAGGAAAGCCCCACACACCTTAATGATGTCTTGCACAAGACCCTATGCAACTTCATGTGCCTCGCTCTCTCTCTGTTCTTCCTCCCTGACCCCAGCCTTTAGTACATGTTTCCATGCACTTAGTGAAGTCCCCATGAGACAGAATTTGTAGACGGTGTAAATGCATTTTGTGACTTAGGCACCCCATGATTCTAGTCAGTCACACCATCCCATGTGTGACCATAAGAGTTTGTTCAATCTGGGCTTCTTTCTCCTTATTCATGATCATGTTCATGCTCTTCCTCTGCCATGCTCCTAAGGATGACAGCAGCCACAGGAATCTTCTCCCCTAGGAATGGCTCTTCTTATTACAAAAGTTAGTCTTTTTGGCTTTCTTCATGCCTTCATCTATTTGATTCATTAAAAATAGCCATTATTTTGTGTCTTCCTAACAGGATGACAGCCTCTTACAACTAACTAGAAACAGGAGATTCCTGAATTATTCTTTTAACATACTTTTAATATGCCTTTGATTACTATCTTGTTTAAGATTTTATGTCTTTATTCATAGTGTGTTTTTCTGTCTGTGGTCCTGTGCACTTAAGGGTGTGTACTCTTTGAGGGTTGATATTAGGCTTATTTTAGTATCATACAATGGACATCATTCTGGTTATCTAGAGATTATAGAGACCATACAAAAGAGTGCAGCCTCAAACACTGTGGAAAGATTTAAAATCTCTCCAGTAACAACCCCCTGTTTGAAGCTTATCGTTTGCAGTTCACCCCCAGTTTGTTCAAGAAATTAATCTTTCATCTATTTTTCTCATTCAAGGCAGCATCCTGTAATGCCACATAATGCCTACAGTAAGGCAAAGATTCCAATTGTGATATTCGTAGTAAACTCCTACAGTAAACTCAACAAAGTGCATCTGAAGTGGGATTTTATGAATTTCTTATTTTGCATTTTGCAGATATTGCCATTTTGGGAGAAGTACAAGTGGAAAGAGCTGGGGACACAGAAAGACTTGTTGAGATGGAACAAGTTCTTTCTTCACTTAACGAGATGAAAAGTACAATAGGTGGCATGGCTCTGTGGAGACAGCAAATCTGTGCAATTGCGAGGGTTCGCTTATTAAAGTTAAAGCATGAAAGAAAAGCTCTTTTATCACTGTGAGTATCAGAGTGCCATAAATTTTTGTTGTAGTCAATACATTAAAAAACAAATCTAAGATATAAAAACCACCCCCCAAAAAAAGATAATAAATTATGTCTACAAAAGTGGATATAATATAATACCCAATTTAGTCAATGATTCTAGTAGTTAACTGCTAGGAGACTAGCAGGTGGAATTTGTAATATTTCGGAGACAATTCTAGAGAAAAAGTTATAGTGGTATAAGCTTTTCTTTGACATTTCCTCTCATTTAAATTCTCCTGTATAGTAGGCGACAGATACATTGGGATGTGGCTCTGTTCCCCTGTATCTATATGACAGTGTCCTATTTTTGATACTGTATGTTTAACCTACTGACACTTCCTTGGGGTAGGCGACAGATACATTGGGATGTGGCTCTGTTCCCCAGTATCTATATGACAGTGTCCTATTTTTGATACTGTATGTTTAACCTACTGACACTTCCTTGGGTGTTACAACTTCCCTCCAGCCCTCTTAAGTGAAAGCAGCTCACTCTTCAGACCTACTGTGTTTATAATACGTATCATCTCTGGTCCCCAAAATTATATCTCCTTCCTGTTAGTACCTTGGTGCCCGTGGTTCCTTGGCTGTCAATCAATGCCTTGTCTCTGTATACTGTGGTTGTGCAATAAAGAGACAGGAGGCCTGGTACATAACCGAATCTCAATAAATACTTGCTAAACAAATCAGCAAGGAGAATTCATTGAGAATTTTTGACAAAGATATTAGCCTGATTTAAGAAAAATCTTTAATATTAATTTGGCAGCACTGTACAACAGAGTCTGGAGAGAGTAAAGAGTGGAGGTATGACAGCTAGTTAGCAAGATTTCAGACAGAATGTGATTAGAAATTAGGAATGGAGAAAGTTTTGAGGTAAGAAATATAGTGATGATACAATAAGATTTTTCAGTGTATTTGAAATGGGCAATACAAGAGAATAAAGAGTAAAAAATAATTTAAAATGAGAGCCTGGAGACTAAAGAAATCACATGGTCACTGACAAAAATAGGAACTGTGGGAAGAGGAGTGGACATGAAAAAAATAGAGGGTAAAGTGTTCATGAATTAACCAGCAGAGAGGAAGAGCATCACTGGAAGCACCGACAACAGGCTGAATCTGGACAAGCAGCAGAAGGAAACTATCTCACAAAATTGTATGAAATATCCAAGGGCCAGAGAGCAACACGAGAAATGAACGAAGGCTTAATCTATGGTTTACCACCTCCAATTTAGAAGTAGAAAAAGGACAAAATACTCAAGAAATTAGACAGAGAGCTATGTGTTTAATTTTCATAATTTCAAGATCTCATCACAGTATAATCTGCTCAGTTTAAAAGATTAGGAAATGACAATGCATTTCCATTGACAATTTTCTTCTGTATAGGCTATTGATTATGGTAATTGGATTGACCCCTCTTCTTTTGGAGTTTATCATGGTGAAAATACATCAAAACAGTTACACTTGGGAACTTTCTCCTCATTTGTACTTCCTTGCTCCTGGGCAACAACCACGTGACCCTCTCACTCAGTTATTGATCATCAATAAAACAGGTAATCAGGTGGTGACTACTCGATTTCCAAATACATTTACTGTTCAGAGAATTACTGAGAAAACAAACATGAGAAAGGGAAAAGAGTTTTTTACTTCAATATGTGTTAAAAGCAATTTATGAGGCTTGGGGATAATAAATACAAGTCTGAAAAGGAGCAGGAATTAGGAAAGTACTTGCCAAAGGAGAAATAAATTATCTGGTGGCCATTTGTAAAGTGAAAGAGTGTACAAAAAAACATGCTTAACAACTTAATTGAGATATAACTGAGATAAATTGCCATACAATTTATCCCTAGGGTTGCCAGGTCCGGAGAGGAGCACTGGAGAGAGGTTGGCTGGGGGTTGGCTGGGGGACACAGGGAATAATTGCAATTTGAGGTGGCGGCCATGCTGATAGCATTGATTTGCTCACCACAACTTGGGCACAGGTGCTAACAATCAGCTCTTGCCCCATGAATATGTATAATCAATAAAAAATAATTAAAAAAAATAAAATAAAATGTACAATTTGATGGTTTTTAGTGCATTCACAGAATGGTGTAACCATCACTACAAACCATTTTAGAATATTTTTGTCATCCTCAAAAGAAACCCCATACCCGTTAGCAGTCACGGTCATTCACTCCTCTCAGTCCTAAGCAACCACAAATTTACTTTGTATTTCTATTGATTTGCCTACTCTGGACATTTAAGATCAGTGAAATCATACAATACACAGTCTTTGGTGACTGCGTCTTTCACTTAGCATGTTTTCAAAGTTCATCCATGTTGCAGCATGTATCTATGTACCAATACTTTATTTTTCAATTGTTGAATAATATTCCTTTGTATGGATATACCCACATTTTGTTTATAATTCATCAGCAGGTAGCCTTTTTACTTTCTTCCCAATAATTGGCTATTATAAGTAATGCTGCTATAAACGTCCATATAAAACTTTTTGTGTGGACGTATGTTTTTCTTTTGGGTGGGTATGATCCTAGAAAAGTAGAATTGTTGTGTCATATGGTGACTATGTTTAACTTTCTAAGAACAGCCAAACTGCTTTTCAATTTCTGAGAGTTCCAATTTCTAACATTTTTGTCAACACTTGTTATTTTCAGACTTTTTTATTATACCCATCATAGTGCATGTCAAGTGGCATTTTGTGGTTTGGGTTTTCATTTTGGTAATGGCTAATAATGTTGAGAATCTTTTCATGTGGTTACTGACCAGTTATACATCTTTGAAGAAATGTCTATTTTTTGGCCCATTTTTTTAATGGATTATTTGTCTTTCTTATCGAGTTCTAACTGTCATAAATATATACATACACACACACATATATATGTTTTTTGTTTTTGTTTTTTGGCAGCCGACTGGCATGGAGATCAGAACCCTCGACCTTGGTGTTATAACACCACACTCTAACCAACTGAGCTAATCAGCCAGCCTTTTATATATTCTTGATACAAGTCTCTCATCAAATACAGTAGGTCCTCATTATTTTCAGATTATGGATTTACAAATTTGTCTACTCACTACAATTTATTTGTAACCCCCAAATCAATACTCATAGCATTTTCATGATATTCACAAACATGCTCAGAGAAGTGAAAATTCTGTCTCCTGATGCTTATATTTCCAACAGAGATTGAACAGAGCAACACTCTGCCTTCTTATTTCAGCTGTCATGTTTAAACAGATGTCCTTTTTGCAGTCTATATATGCCATTTTTTTATATTTTTGTCTTTTTATTGATGATTTCACTGTTTCAAATGGCTCCAAGTACAGTGCTGAAGTGCTGTCTAGAGTGCCTGAATGCAAGAAGGCTGTGACATGCATTTTCCCAGTTTGTTGAGTGTTTTCATCATGAGGGAATGTTGGATTTCATCAATATTTTTCTGTTTATTGAGATGATCATGTGGTTTTCATCTTTCATTTTGTTGATGTGATGTACTATATTAATTTATTTTCAAATGTTAAACCATCCTTGCATTCCTGGGATAAATTCCGCTTGGTTGTGGTATATAATCTTTTAGTTATGCTGCTGGATTTCATTTGCTAGTATTTTATTTTCATAGCATTTTCATGATATTCACAAACATGCTCAGAGAAGTGAAAATTCTGTCTCCTGATGCTTATATTTTCAACAGAGATTGAACAGAGCAACACTTTGCCTTCTTATTTCAGCTCTCATGTTTAAACAGATGTCCTTTTTGCAGTCTATATAGTGCCATTTTTTTATATTTTTGTCTTTTTATTGATGATTTCACTGTTTCAAATGGCTCCAAGTACAGTGCTGAAGTGCTGTCTAGAGTGCCTGAATGCAAGAAGGCTGTGACATGCATTTTCCCAGTTTGTTGAGTGTTTTCATCATGAGGGAATGTTGGATTTCATCAATATTTTTCTGTTTATTGAGATGATCATGTGGTTTCCATCTTTTATTTTGTTGATGTGATGTACTATATTAATTTATTTTCAAATGTTAAACCATCCTTGCATTCCTGGGATAAATTCTGCTTGGTTGTGGTATATAATCTTTTAGTTATGCTGCTGGATTTCATTTGCTAGTATTTTATTGAGGACTTTTTGCATCTCTATTCATAAAAGATATTAGTTTGTAGTTTTATTTTCTTGTGATGTCTTTGGATTTGGTAATACTAGCCTCATAGAATTAGATGGCAAATGTTCTCTCTGCTTTTATTTTTTGGAAGATTTTGTGAAGGATTGGCATTAATTTTTCACTAAATGTTAGGTAGAATTTACTAGTAAAGCCATCTGGGTAAGGGGTTTTCTCTATGGGAAGTTTTGTAATTAGTAATTCAATCTTTTGATTGTTACAGATCTTGTTACATTTTATATTTCTTCTTGCATCAGTTTGGTAGTTTGTGTCTTTCTAGGAATTTTTCCATTACATCTGTGTCATCTAATTGTCATACAGTTGATCACAGTATTCCATTAGAATCTTTTTTGTTTATAGAGATGGCATTTATAACTCTCCCACCTTATATTCCTGATTTTAGTCATTTGAGTCTTGTTTTTATTTTTTCTTGGTCATTCTAGCTAAGGATTTATCACTTTTGTTGATCTCTTCAATGAACCAACTTCTAGTTTCATTGATTTTCTCTATTGTTTCTCTATTGTCTATGTCACTAATTTCTTTCTTTCTTTCTTTCTTTCTTTATTATGAATATGCATGAGATACAATGCAGATGTCACTAATTTCTTATCTAACATTTGGGTTTATTTACTTATTTATTTCTGTTTGCCTTGAGTTTAGTTTGCTGTTCTTTTTTCAGTGTCTTAACATAGAAGGTTTGGTTATTGATTTGAGTGTTTACAGCTATAAATTTCCTTCTAAGCACTGCTTTAGCTGAATTCCATTAGTTTAGATATGTTGTGTTTTTATTTTCACTAATCTCAAAATATTTTCTAATTTCCATTGTGATTTCTTTTCTAAGCATTGATTATTTAGGAATATATGGTTCAATTTTGACGTATTTGTGAATTTTCTAATTTTCTTTCTTTTGTTGAATTCTAATTTTATTCCATTGTGGTCAGAGATAGTAGTTTATATGATGTCAGTCTTTTTAAGTTTATTGAGGCTGGTTTAATGTCGTTGCATATGACCCATTTTAGAAAATATGTCCTGTTCACTTGAGAAGAATGTATATTCTCTTATTGGGTGGAAATGTCTATATTTCTGTCTTCAATTCTTTTAATTTTTATTTCATATATTTTTGGTTCCTGTAAAGCATATACACTAATATAAATGTTATAACTTCCTGTTGTATTGACCCTTTTATCATTATAAAATGTCTTCCATTATTTCTAGTGTCATCTTTTGTTTTAGTTTATTTTGTCTGATATTAGTGAAACCACTCCAGTTTTCCTATGATTGTGTTTGTGTGATATATCTTTTTCACTCTTTACATTGCATCTATTTGTATTAAATAAATTTAATATGTTTCTCCTGTAAACAGCATATAGGTGGATAGTGCTTTTTAATCCAGTCTAACAATCTATGGCTTTTGAATGTATTGTTTATTACATTCACATTTAACATTATTACTGATTATGTAGGATTTATATTTGCCATTTTACTATTTCTTTTCTATATGTCTCATACTTTTTTTGTTTCTCTATTCCTTATTTGCTATTTCTTTTTCATTAAGTATTTTCTCCTTTAACATTTTAATTCTTTTAATAATTTTTTCATTATTTTTTTTTTGAATTCCATGTTTAGTGGTTATTCTTGGGCTTAGAATATGAATCTTAACTTATGTAAGTCTACTTAAGGTTTATACAAACCTGATTTCAGTGAGCTATAGACTCTTCTCTTATATAGTTCTATTTACTATTGCGCTTTTTGGTGTTATTACTATTATACATTTTACATCTATATGTTATAAAACCAATAGTACATTGCCATAATCATTACTATGTATGATTTCATATCTCTTAAAGAAGCTGAGAGAAAAAAGGAGAGCAAGTATGTATTTACAGACTTTGTTATATTAATCCTATTATTTAACATTTCTGGTTCTTTTCATTTGTTCTTATAAATTTAAGTTACCATCTTATGTTATTTTCTTACTCCAATACAGCTATGATTTGTCCTGACTCCTTTGTGCTATTATTGTAAAATATATTATGTATCTATATGTTTTGGACTCAATAATATAATTATGTATATTGCTTTATGCAATTGCTTTTTAAATGAGTTAATTGTAGAAAGAAGAAATATGCATTTATACTATTGTAAGTACACGATCATGTTTATTGATATTCTTTGGCCTTTTCCCCTGGATTCAGATTGCCATATGGGGTCACTTGCATTCAGTTTTAAGTATTTCTTGTAAGGCATCTCTGCTAGTAACTAAATCTCTGTTTTTGTTTATCTGGCAAAGTCCTATTTTATCTTCATCTTTGAAAAATATTTTTGCTTGATATAAGATTCTTGGCTGAAATTTTTTTTCAGTGCTTTGTATATGTCATCCCACTACGTTCTGGCTACCATTGTTTCTAATGAGAAATCAGCTGATGTATAATGTATAATCCTTATTCATCATTAGTTGTTTTTCTCTTGCTGCTTTCAAGAGTTTCTCTTTGCCTTTGGTTTCACCATTTTTACTTTGATGTGTCTGTTGTGGGTCTCTTTGTATATATTTTACTTAAGGTTGGTTGAACTTCTTAGATGTACAAATTAAAGTACGTTATCAAATTTGGGAAGTTTTTGGTGATGATTTGTTCAGATATTTTTACTCTTCCTTTCTCTTTCTCCTGTCCTTCTGGTACTCCCACTACATGTGAAATAGTGTGAGTAATAATGTCCTACATTTCTCTGAGGTTACTTTTATTTTTTTTCTGTTCTTTAGATTGCATAATATCTTTGACCTATATTCAAGCTTGCTAATCCTTTCTTCATCCATCCAAATCTACTGATGGGCTCCTCTAGTGAATTTTTCATTTCAGTTATTGTACTTTTCAACTCCAGAATTTCCATTTGATTCTTGTTCTTTTTTTTTATTTCTAACTAATTTCTATATCTTTATTGCTATTATTTATTTGATGTGACATTATCATCATATCTTTCTTTACTTCTTTAAGCATGGTTTCCTTTAGTTCTTTGGGCATATTTGTAAGAACTGCTTTGAAGTCTTTGGTTTTTGTTTCATATCTGAGATTTTCAAAGGCAGTTTCTGTTGCCTACTTTTTTCCCTGTATAAGGGTGACACTTTCTAATTTTTTAGCATGACTCTTAGTTTTTGGTTGAAAACTGGACATTTAAAATAAAACTTTGTAGCAACTCTGGATATTGACCCCCAACTTTTCTGGTGCTTGTCATTATTGCTTGCTTATTTATTTGTTTAGTAAGTTGACTGGATTATTTTAGTGAATTCTGTTTCCCCTGCCTTGCACAACTCTGATGCTACTCCAGAGAGGACATAGCCTTGGGGATATTCACTGTTACCCTGAGGTGGCAATGATTTAGCTGGACTTTCTCTCCCTCCCTGATTTCTCCCTTAAACTGTCTGGCTCCATAGGCATCACATTCAGTTGTTAGTCTCCATTAATTATAGGCTAATTGTTTTGTGTTTTCAAAAATGCCCATGGGCATAAATTACTCCACAGTTTGACCCAATTAAATATAGTTGTGTTTGTAGGAATAGTCTTTGAAGCCTGTTACTGAGGTCTGTTCTGACCCCAGAAAGACTCTTCTCAACCATTTGTTTTGTAGCTGGTGTATGGTTCAATCTGGTAGGCTCCAATCACCTGTCAATTGCTTACCAACAAAATCTCCATGGTTTTTAGGCTTGAATTTCCCCAAACCCTGTTCCAAATAAAATTTATCCCTTTGGGTAGAGTTTCAGCAAGTCTCTATTATTAAGACCTGCTTCTTGCCCTGGGAAAACCCTCTGCACCATTGCTATAGAGCTGGAAGTACGCATAGTGGCATGATTCTCTTGGGGTAGCACCCCACTTTGTGATCAGGTGGTGCACAGGCACAGTAACCTGTGGTCTTCTTAGCTTCATTCTCCTGTCATGGAAACTTTGCAATGTAAGTGCGATGCGACAAGGGTGATTGCAACTTAGTATTATGGGCCACGTGTGTAGGATGGATCATCTACCTTATGAATAGGGGATGCGTGGAAGAAGAGAACCCCTGATCTCTCGGCCACTCTTCCCTGGCATTGAGCTTCTACAACATGGAGCTGAGGAATGAGAAAAATTAGTGAACTGCCCCCCCCCCCAAAATACTATAGCCCTCAACCGGGCTTGGGGGGGGAAGAATCTCTGAGTTCTTGGCTACACTCATTCAGAGCAGAGTTTCTGTCATGCTGATCTGAAAGGGGCATGGGGGGTGAGGGTATTGATTTGTGGTTCAGGTGCCACAACATATCAATGTTCTTACTATGATTTAATAGATTTTCTTAAATAAATTTTTCTTCATTTTCTATATGCCGTTAGGGAAAAAATTTTAACTTTTTTTTTGGTTTTTTTTTTTTAGGATTTTTTTTTACAAGCTGTAGTTGTTTATCTGGGGAGAGGGTCTGCAGTGCTCCTCACACTGCCATTCTACAAACTGTCTTCCTGTATCAAGAAACGTTTTGAAAATCAATTAATAATCTAGTGGTAATAAAGTGAGTTTTAGCAGATTTATGGTTAATCAGTAGAAGTTATCTGTGTCATTAAAACCTTATTGGTTATGGCCATTCATTGCAAGAATCTAGGAAAACAAATCTGTTCCAAAAGCCATATGATGTTAGGTGACTTTTCCATTAGCAGTAATCATAAGCAAATAAACAGATTTTGAAGTAAACTCCATGAGAGGTAAATAGATTTTTAATTCATAGTATCAAGCATGCTATCATATGGAAAAATATCCTGAAAGTCCATATTACAGTAAGTATCACATAATGACATTAATTGTAGATTGACTGCACAGCTTGACATTAATTTTCTTCATTTTGTGATATCTAATATATTTCACCACACCTTAGGCACAAGCATTGATGACTTTATACATTCTGTGGAACACCAGAACATAGCTTTGGAAGTGGATGCATTTGGAACTAAAAATGGCATAGATGACCCATCTTACAATGGAGCCATTATCGTGTCTGGTAATAAAAAGGTATGCTGGTCTCCATTTAATAATTTTCCAAAAAATGTAGAAAGCTAATATAAAATCAGTATACTCAGATCTCTAATTTAAAAAACAAAAATGAAAAACAAATACTGTTTGCATTTATTATTTAGTGAATTGTACTCATTAGTGTAATAAATAATTCATATACCAATCATTGTCTACCAACACAAAGTGTGTACATTAGCAAAATTCGTACTATAGAATACCCACTACGGTAAGTGCATATTTAAGTTTAAAGAATTCTTATTTCTTCTCAAGGATTTTATAAAATATATATATATTCTGAAACTTTTATTTTATTCTTAAACAGTAAACACTCCACACCCGGTTCTAGCTTTAAGCAAGACACCTGGTGTCCTGAAAATCAGATACATGATTTTACTTTATTATATACATGTTTTGTTTTACTTACACAAAAGAGTAGTTTGCTTTTACTGTTTTTTTTTTTTTTTTACTTACACAGTGTGTTTTTGTTGTTTTGATTATCTGACAATTTTTAAAACTTGATTTCTTAAATTAAAATGTTGAATTTTAAAAAAATTGAAGATCTTTAGGAATTTATCATCTTGCTTGTTATATTTCAGAATTACAGTTTTTCTTTAGCATGCAATACCAAGAGACTGAATTGTTTTCCAGTTCTTATGGATATTGTTAGTAATGGACTACTTGGAATGGTTAAACCTTCAGCACATATCCAAACTGACAGAAGCACATTTTGGGAGGTAAGCATATAATTTTATAGACCCTCTTCCATCAGCTCATCCTTTTAAATGCCAAAATCTTATTCTTATTGAGTAAACCACTGCATAATAAATTAACATTTGGATTCATACTAGTTCTGTGGCTTTGGAAAATCAATACACTTTTCAGAGCTTCATTTTTTTAAATGCAAAATAGAAATAACAACGGTATTCAAAGAGAATATGAAGCAACAAAAGTGAAATTGTTCACCTCTGTGACTAGCATTAAAATAATGAACAAATGGAAGGAAGAAAGGAAAGAAAGAAACTTTATTATTACTTTTAGAAATGCTATGAAAGAAAAAATATTAGTACAAATTTCAGTCTAGAATTGCAGACTGCCTACACTAGAATTACCCCAGGTTCTTATCAAAAGTATTAATTTTCTTGGTCTATCTTAGATCTTCCAAACCAGCTTTACCATATGTGGTGCAAAAACCCCTCTTATTTCTTAACTAAGATCCAGGTGATTGATATGTATATAGCCCTTTAAGTTTGGGAACCAGAATATCACAGTTTGTAATGATTTCTTTTTATTATTTCAAAATATATTTCTCCCTATTAGAGAGTTGCTTTGAGCACAAGGATCATGTATTTTTAACATTATAAATACCTTGTAAGTAAGAAAAGACCTGGAACATGGTAAGCACTAAAGTAATTTAATTGTTAAATATATAAACGAATGTTAGTTTCTTTCAATGAATGTTATCTTTCAATTAATTCGCTCAACTCTAGGGTTTATGACAATACTAGGGTGCTTCAAAAAGTTCATGGAAAGATTCATATGATCTTTCAATTCTACTTTTCCATGAACTTTTTGAAGTACCATCATATATATGGCCAATAATCATTTACTTATGTCTATATAAATGAATCACATATCCACCATTATTTTCAAATATTCCAGCAAGATCTTCAGTTACCTTCTCACATTATATCCTATTATTTGCTCAGGAAATAAAAATTTATTTTATTAACGGTGTGCAAGAAACTTGATCATTAAAACAAAAGGTATTAGTTATTCATCGAGTATTAATTAATTTTAGAACACGTGCTGTGGTTCATTCAATTAAACTTCTATGACTGTGAAGACCTTTTCAACATCTTCTGGTTTCTGAAGACAGGATACCTAATTGATCAAATTGCCTTGGGCTTCTATCTTTAAAGACATCCTGTGTTTTGTAACTAGAATGAGCTCAATACCAACCAGCTCAGTTGATCTTGTACTTATGTGCCCAACATATTAACTTTAATCAATATCTTCTGCAGCTTATTTAATTCTTTATTTGAATTTACCTGCTCATTGCTCCAAAAGTAAGAGTTTTCTGGAGTTTTAGACTTTGCTTCTGTTCTGCTCAAAGTCAATAGATTCGCCACTGAGTACTGAACCTACCCAGCTCAGGGTGTTCTGGAAGCATTCTGACAATAAGCTTTAACCTCACCACTCTGTGATTAGCAAGTGTCTTTCTGATGACCAATCTGAATATGACGGAGCTCTGGTTATAACTTTCTTCAGAAATGTGCTTAATCAAACAATAGCTATGCAAATAACATGTTCTGTGATTAGCAAGTGTCTTTCTGATGACCAATCTGAATATGACGAGGCTCTGGTTATAACTTTCTTCAGAAATGTGCTTAATCAAACAATAGCTATGCAAATAACATGGGACTGGTTTTCAAGGCAGTTCATGAATCTTCTGTTCCTAAAGATTGTTACAAACAGGAGTAACAACAGGTGTAAATAAGGGCTAAGGTTTTCCTTGATGTTGTCAGTCTCCCTTCTGGAACTTTATCTCTACTTTTGAATCCTCAACCAATACTTATCTGGTCTCATGTTGTACCTAGCAAGATAACTTATAATCACTGGGCCCATAAAACATCTGATATGATTTTTGAGTCATGCTGCTACATTTGAAATAATTAAAAATCAGGTAGGAAATTGAATGTGACAACTATGGATTATCATTTATTTAGCATCACATTAGATTTTAAGATCATAAGGTAAGAAAATAAAAAAACCTTGCTATTATTATTTTCCAAATGGTATCGATTCATTCATCATCTTTGAATTCTTATCTATAAATTATCCTTCTTTATAAATTTGAGTATAAAGTCAAAAGTCAAGCTTCAAAACTAGAAGGAAAATGAAAGAGTTTTGGAATCTCAGAACCTAAGTCAAGATTACATGCAATTGGTTTAATATTTTTAAAATGTATTCCAGAAATTAAAGTTCGAATTTGTTCATTCAGCTCACTGTATTCTTTGCATTTTCAGGACACACCAATTAATCCATTTAATTTCCTGGGATATACCATGTTCTGGCTGATGTTGGCATCCAGTTGTGCACCTTATATTGCCATGAGCAGCATTGATGATTGTAAGGTAATAACAAGTAATTAAAACTTCCATTACTTTGTATAATTAGTAGCTGAAGTTAATAAAATTACAGGATTTCTCATGAGGACGTTTATACATGTTTAATTGAGATGCTAATTTTGGCATAAGTTAGAGAAATTTTTTAAAGTTTTTAAATGGACATATAAATACATAGATAAATAGATGATAGAGAAAGATTCTAAAATGTGTATGGATATGCAAAGAATCTAGAATAGGGAAAATAACTTTGAAAAAGAAAAACAAAGTTGGAAGACTTATGTTTCTGACTTCAAGGCTCAGTACAAAATTATAGGAATTAAAGACGAGTTGTATTAATTAAAGATAATCATAGAGATATATAAAATGGAATAGACATTACAGAAATACAAGGGTGTTTCAAAAAGTTAAGGGAAAGATTCATATTGTCTTTTAATTCTGTTTTCCCACAAACTTTTTGAAGTACCCTCATAAACTCCCACATACAAGGGGACTTCAAAAGTTTCATGGAAAATGGAATTAAAAATAAAATTTAAAAATATAAACTTTATTTTTTGACATAAGCCCCATCAAGTTCGAGACACTTTTGTAAGAGATGATAGCAGCCATTTAGTCCATTTCCAAAGCACTAAGGGTCCTGAGATTTTCACTACATCAATGACATCTTTTTCACATTATTGTGCTCAACTGTAATGGTTTTAATCAGAATTGTGTGATTTGAGCCCATTGAGATGTCTACGGTGTTGGCTATTGTTTCTGCAGTTAATCGTCGGTCCTCTCCAATCAGGGCATGAACAAGATTAAATTTTTCCTCGCAAGTTGATGTGGACGGTTTGCCGCTGCAGGCTTTCTCTTCAACATCATCTCATCTCCTCTTAAAACGAGTTATCCCCTTGTAAACTGCTGATTTCTTTGGCGCGTTGTCCCCATAAACTTTGCAAGTAGCATCAATAATTTCACCATTCATCCACCTGAGCTTCACCATAAATTGGATGTTTGTTGCTTCAGTTTTAGAATTCATGTTGCTCTGATAGGGGCTCTTTTCAAACTGATATTTTATCCTTCTTAGTGCCTCAAGCGAGATTCTATTCAGAAATGTTATAACAAGTTAGTACAAGTTTGTTTTGGTAGAAAAGAATTTTGAAATCCATCCATAATTTTTTCTTAATACACATTTTCCATGAACTTTTCAAAGACCCCTTGTATATCATCAATTGACTTTTAGTAAAATTGCCAAGGAATTCACATAAGGGTAAATTTAAACTTTTCAGAAAACTGTACCACCACAACTTGATATCAGTATGAAAAAAAAGTTCTTAAAACTCACTTCACACTATAGACAAAATTAATTTGAAGTAAATTATAGATTTTGTGGTAAGAAAATATTTCTTAGATGGGACAGAAGTATACCATAAAAGAAAAAAAATGACTTGAACTTCATCAAAGTTAAAAACCTTCTGCTCTTTGTAAAACATCAATAAAATTAAAAGGCAAGACACAGGCTAAGACAAAAATATTTACAATACATACATATCTGACAGAATATTTGTATTTGTATCAGACTATATAAAAAACTCTTAAACCTCAGTAATAAAAGGTAATCTAATTTTTTAAATGAACAAAATATTTGAACAGATACTTCACTGAAGTAGATATACAGATAGAAAATACCCCCATGAAAAGATGACTAATATCACAAGTAATGAGGAAAATAACCCCAATGAGATAGGTCTACTCACCAAATAAAATACATAATGTTAAAATGACTGACAATATCAAGAGTTTGTAAGGATGTGGAGAAACTGGAACTCGCAAGCAGTGCTAGTGCGAATATAAATTGTGCAATCACTTCACAATTTAGTTGTTTCTTCTAAAGTTAAAAAAATACAGTCATTGTTATGACACATCTATTCCTCTCCTAAGTATTTACCCAAGTAAGTATTTACTCAAAGAAAAAAGGGAAAACAGAAAAACTTTTCACATGAAAACTTAAATATAATGTTCTAAGCAGCTTTATGCGTAATAGCCAACAACGTGAAACAATCCACATGTCCATCAAGCTGTGAATTGATAAACAAATTCTGGTATGGACTGGAATGGAACGCTGCTCAGCAGTAAAAACTTAAATATAATATTCTAAGCAGCTTTATGTATCATAGCCAACAACGTGAAACAATCCACATGTCTATCAAGCTGTGAATTGATAAACAAATTCTGGTATGGACTGGAATGGAACGCTGCTCAGCAGTATAAAAGAAGGCATGGTTAATAGATGCATCAACGCAGATGGGTTTCAGAACCATTAGTCTGAGGAAATGAAGACAGACACAGAAGAGTAAATACTGAATGATTTTACTTATATGAAATTCTTAGAAAAGTAAAACTTACTTATAGTGACCGGAGGTATGTGTGATTGCTTGTAACCAGCAGTAAAGGCTACGGACTGCAAATGAGCGTGGAAACTGAGGTATGATGGAAATGTCCTAGACCTTGATTATGATTGTGGTACAGGAATATATGCATTCATCAAACCTCATGCAACTATATACTAAATATGGGTGCTTTTTCTTGCTTGAAAATTATACCTTAAAAAATGTTAACTAAGAAGAGATTGCTGAAATAAAAGGAAATGATGCTTTGGAAATGTGAGAGCTTGGAAACATAAAAAGAAAACTCTACTGTTTAAGGGCCAATTTATAAATTTTCATTCCCAGACACTCTTTCATAAATCCAAATGAATTTTTAATGTGTCTGCAAATGGAGATTCTGATTCAGTAATTATGGAGTACAGCCAAATCTTGAGGGGCAATCACAGGTGGTGAATTTTTACGATTAATCAACCCAGGTCAACTTGCATTAGCATTTCTTACGAATTTCAATAGAATATCCTTTAATGCTCCATTTTTGTGACTTCACTATACAAAATCCATGAAACCCTGCATAAGCACCTCTGTTTACTCAGTATCATCTTTATCTGTTTCATTTCCTTCCTCTGCAAGATAATTCTATTGCCCAGGAAAAGAGATTACTATCCAGGTAATGTTCCCTTTCTAGTGGACAACCAGCAGGAATCTTGAAAAATTCCATTGACTAGTGTGATGTAACTGTCAGTCATTCTGGTGTTAATATAGTCCAAACTTTAAAACTCCTTCTGTAGGAAACATGAACACTTTCTTTTTCTGTTTGAATATTTTCTTGCATGAACCATATTTTCTTGAACCTCGAACTGATATTACTTTGCATCTCTGTTTTCTCCTGATCAGAACAAAGCTCGGTCCCAGCTACGGATTTCGGGGCTCTTCCCTTCTGCTTACTGGTTTGGGCAGGCACTGGTGGATATTCCCATGTACTTCCTGATTCTCCTTTTCATGTATTTAGTGGACTACCTTTTAAACCTCCAAGATACTATATTTATGTTTATAAATCAGATTATTCAAGTAAGTGCCAATATTCATAAAACATTGTATGATTTAATTAGAAAATCTGAAATTCTCTAGTTCTAACTCAAATTACCTTCATTGATATTTACACGTCACCAATTAAATAACTGTAAAATCCCGTGCCATGACAGTGCTTTGGATTCTAAATGTTTTCCTAGACTGCATTTGTCTTTGACTTTCCTTAACATTCCTGTTGATTTCAGGTCCCCTGTGCTATCGGTTATGCCACATCCCTTATCTTCTTGACATACGTGATTTCATTCATTTTTCATAAGGGGAGAAAAAATAGTGGCATTTGGTCATTTTGCTTCTATGTTGTAAGTATGTTTCTTGTGGACATTTATTTTATATACTGTATATACAATTCTGAGTGGATACTTTAAATTTTGCCTTTAGTAGAATAATAAATTAATATTACAGCCTAAAATATTTTACATTTGCCTTACATATGGATCCTTTTCAAAATCTGCACCTTTTTCTATTCCTATTTCTTTTCTTTTTTTTTTGTCTTTTTTGTCTTTTTCCGTGTCCGGCAACGGATCACAACCCTCAGTGTTGCCCCCGCACCGGACCGGGACCGGCAACGGGATCGCAACCCTCGGTGTTGCCCCCGCGCCTCGCTCAGCCAGTGAGCGGGAACCGGTCTGTATGTGGGATCCGAACCCTCGGGCGGGAGCGCTGCCGCGCTTCCCAAGCGGCGCACTATCCAGTGCGCCACTGGGCCGGCCCCTCTATTCCTATTTCTATCCTTATGTTTCTTTAAAAGTAGCCAAATTACTTCTAGCACTATAAAATACTGAGCTAAAAGGAAACCTGCAGACCACCTATATTTTCTCTTTACAACACACACACAAAATAAGCCTGAAGACCCCCACAAACACAAGATTACAAATTCTGTTACTAGCATTCTAAAAACTAGAAATTACTTCTCTAAAACTCTTACTGAGAATTAATTCCATAAAGCCACACTTCTTTTGTCTAAACTACGTGGAAAATGTGTGCAATTTATGAGTATTCTAATTTCCTGTGATTTCGACAGGCCAAAAAATAAGCTTTTAATTTCACGAATATTTGTTGGCTTCCACAGTGTGTCACAAATTAAGACTGATAATGAGAGAAAAGATATTCAATAGACAGTTTCAACCCTGGAAGAGTTCTCAATGGATAAACAGATACGTAAAGATCCACTTATTAAAATGGAGTGATAAAGAAAAGATTATCTATAGAGTTATTTTCCATTCTAAAAGTCTGGTTTTCATAGACCTAAAAGAGGCTTGTGAAAAACCAGATAGGGGAGAGATTAATCTATGAAAATGAGAACAGAGATTTCCTTTAAAAAGTGAAAACTGAAAGAGTGAGATTTCAACAGGTAGAAAGTGTGATGGTGTAAATAGAAAATGACAGATGAACAGAAGCCTAGAGGGAACCATGTCCAGGCTTCTCCTGGTAACTGGTAATAATCTGGAGTGCCTATGGATAGAAAACTAGACACAGCAGGCTCCTGGTGCTGGTTATAGCAAAAAACAATGGTTGGGACCATGGCTGGCCTTAAATGATGTGCTCAGGAATTTATTCTGTAGGTTCTGGGAAGTCAGGAAAGTCTACAGTGAAGAGGAGAAACATAATCAGAGATAAACTTTTAGGAAGAATATTTTGACAGCCATAAAAATGATGGTTTATAAGACAGAGATATTAGAAGCACAAAACTTTTAGGAAATCATCCCAGTTTTAGAAGAAAACGTCTGAGGACTTTGGGTGTGCCTGTAACTTTCTCTTATTCCTGTATTTTGTATTTTAGTATTTCTGCAAAAGCCACTTGAGGTTGTTGAATGCCTGTATTTCTCCATTTGCATAGTTAACACGTCTCCTTTCATTATTGTAATTTTATACCAGTTAGATATCAATTTCAATTCTTCTCTGTGATTATTGAGTAATCTACTATTCTGAATTTTACCTCCCAAAACAATACACACCAACTTTTTTTTCTCTTTTCTATTATCAAAATATTCTGTATATGGGATCCTAGATGTATCCAGTAATGTCTTATTCATGATATTCTAGGCCAAAGGAATTTGGATAAGTCACTAAGAGAAAATATTAATGAAGATATACTGATTTCAGTTTGGTTTGTGAGGTTGGAGTTGATTTGGTCATCACATATTGTACACAAATACTGATAGTCAACTTTGTACCCCACAAATATGTATAATCAGTTATGTTTCAATTAAAACAAGAGAACTCTTCAAGATGAGCAATCTCAATTTCAAACCTGTATTGAAATTCATTTTTGTGTTTTCTTTAGATCACCCTATTCTCTCTGGCTGGATTCATACTGGATGTCTACGAAAGTGGTGCACTGTATTTCATCCCCTTCTTGATACCACCTGGAACATTGATTGGCTGTTTGTTCTTATCTTTTAGCGTAAGTAACACCACTATCTGCCCCAGTGTGTGGGAACTCGTGACCAACTGAGAAAGTTTTGCCCAGAGTTGAGATGCTACAACATGTTAAACATGCATGAGTTTTGAAGATTTCTGCCTCATGGATTCCAATTGCTTTCATCTCAGATAGAACAAGGTGCTTGAGCTGACCTGTAGTAGAAAATCTGACCCTGGATAATGTATGGGAAGGAAACGTAATAGCTGGCGAGAAGCAAAGCAGCTATTACGTTATATTCATTTTGGGCCTTTTACGTTCCTTGGTATGCTCTGCTTTAGAAGGAGGCAAGTAAAATGCCCCTAGTCTTTAGGGTTTCAAGGTTCTAGAAAAACACCTAATATGAATAAAGTCCCTTTTTTCTGGCTGACTAATGCCTATGTTTCTACAAAAGGAAGAAAGATACAGCACATGAATAAAGAGGTATCTGTGGGGCAGGGGAAGAGAATGGCCACCATAAGAGGAGAAGTGGGCACAGGCAGGTGTGGGAAAGGTAAATGCTGTCTCTGTCACTGTTTGGGGAGGCCAGCACAGATCCCCAGGATTCTCTCACCAGTGATCAATCATTGATAAATCCCGTTCCTTCAAAGAAAAGCCCATAGACCTTGGGAGGAAGGAAGGCAGCCTCTTGTTTCACATTTTGGAGTGGACACCCACCTGATGCTCATGGTGATATCAGAGGAAATATTAGCAGGGCTGTTTGCAGCCAATTCACGTTTATGTGGCCAAAATTCATGAAACAAAAAACTTCCTGTTTAACCATTGTCTTTCCTTTTTCAGCTTTTCATGTTTAGTATCTTTAGTGAAGAGCCGAAGGGTGTGGAGCCATTTCTGGTATTCCTAATTGTAAGAACAAGTTCTTTTTAGAAAATTATAGTGATATTTAGTATATGCAACAATTTTAACTCCTGTACACACTGTGAAGCTTTTTAAAAGATGAATATAAAGATATCTACAGCCCATGGAGATATAATGTTTGTCAAATCTGGAAGAGTTGTTTTTATAAATGTCAATTGGCCAGATAATGTGCTTCCCAAATTTTAAGAACACCATACAACCGTTAGAGGAAATAACATAAAGTAATGGATTGCATAATTACAGCTGTCTCCACTGTTTCTGAAAACAAGATTGAAAATGAATTTGATAGCTTTATAATTTGCCAAGTAAGTTCTTGGAAATTTGTAATGATTTCAATGAATGTATTTTTGCAGAAGTCTAATTATTCCTAGTTCATTCTGATATTAAAACAATTATCCCTTTGTGTTTCTAATTATGCATCTCTCTCTCTCTCTTTATTCCTAGCCTTTTCTTCAATTTATCATTCTACTTTTTATTCTTCGATGTCTGGAATGGAAGTTTGGAAAGAAATTGATGAGAAAGGATCCGTTCTTTAGGTTGGAAGAATTCAAATTGGATTCTTTTATCTTGTTGATCAATATTTTAAAATATTTTTTCATGCATAAACCAATCTATTAACAAAGAATTGCTATGTACTAGGTCAGGCTGGGGTAGAAACCATGTGTCAATGCAAATAATACAGATTCGGACACGTCGAACAAGATTACAGTCCAATCTATTAACAAAGAATTGCTATGTACTAGGTCAGGCTTGGGTAGAAACCATGTGTCAATGCAAATAATACAGATTCGGACACGTCGAACAAGATTACAGTCCAGTGGAGAAAACAGACCCGAAACATTGAATAGTAAGGGCTCTATCTGACACTATGCACAGTGAAGCACTAGGGAAAGTTAAATGTGGCTGGTTCAGTTTAAAGAAAAATTAATTTGAATAGATTGGCAGTTGAAGGAATGCTGCCCATCCAGGAAGAAGGAATAGAATAATTAACAAGCCAATGATAGCAATAACTCTGCTCTTTTCCAGTGGTAGTGAAAAGCCCAGCTGGTGAATCGTAGACTATTTAGTTATTAATGGAACTTAAGAGCCAAGACTTTTTTTTTTGCATCATATAAGGATGCAACCATAAGTATCTTATTCCCTCTGTCTCTCCCATATCAGATCAGTTTCATCTTTCACTATTATAGATAGATGGATGGGAGACTACTGAGATGAAAGCAGACCTCTAGAAATCTTCTAAAATCAGAATTTGGGAGAGGGGATGTGTCAAGCAAAGAGAGACTAGAATGAGGTATATTCTGAGAATGAAGGGCCAAACTTAGAATAAAAGCAAATCTAACACATATTCCAAAGAAATGGTTAGGTTTCATGAGAGATCAAGCATCTAACTTGCATTTTCTGAGACAGTCATAATTTCATATATTCTGGTTCATTTTCCCTATGAAAACATAATAATGCCAATATGTTGGTGTCAAAGCTGAGGGTCCCAGAAAAACTACTTCACTGAGCTATGAAATAAAAATCCTTTGTCAGTTAATAGTACCAAGTTACTTGTTGATATTGAAAAAGATGATATTTCTATGGATAAGTAGAATGAAAGAATTGTAAGAAACAATGGTCACTAAATACAGTAGTGCTGTTAACAAAAGCAAGGAGTTTACAAAGGGACAAGGGCTCAGTGCACTGAAGAGATGTTATGATGGTTTATTAATTGCCCGAGGTACCCAAGCATGAGATTTAAGAATGCAGTATTCTTGACAGAAGGATGAAAGCCCCAGATCAATTCTTAATAGATGGTTTTGACTCTAGAATATCTCCAAGAAGCAGTGATGTGCGTCAAAATCCAGAAGAACCAGGAGAAGAAGATGAAGATGTTCAGATGGAAAGAATCAGAACAGCAGATGCCTTGAATTCCACAGATTTTGATGAGGTAAAACATACAAACTTGTTATTTCATCCAATAACACAAATGCTCATCAGTTAAAGTGGTCCATCTACCAGCCTAATTCTCAAAACTTTGAGTTTCTCTGTTCCTTACAGATGAGCATCATTTTAAGTACACAGTTGCCATTTTTACACCCAAGTGGGCAGATTAAAAGTCATTTACTCTCTTTGTCTTCCTTAGAATAAGTAAAAAGTTGAGTGTAATTGAAATTACAGAAGCCAAGAAAGAATTGTAGGAACTGAGCAAAGCAACACACGTCACTGCTTCTTGGAGAAAGTCCACAGTACAAAATTTAGAGTAAAGACCAGTCTACGGCATATTGTTTTGTCTTCCCAGGAGGATTCGGTGCTTCTCCAAGTCTTTTTGATCTTATTCTGAGAAGACAGGCAGGCTGTATAAAATTGTGTGCTCCTGAGTAACTGCCTTTGTAGGAGAAGAAAATAACAATCTCTCCTCTCCAAAAATAAGTACTAGGATAGGAGAATGGTCAATAGGCATGTCACTTAGTAGGGTCTTCTTTGATGCATGGCTTTGGCAGCAAAGGGTCAAACCTATGGGAAGATACAGTTTTTTCAAAGTTAATGAAGAGAATTAAGGTCTGACATAATGTACTTGTCATTTGCAGAAGCCAGTCATTATTGCCAGCTGTCTACGCAAGGAATATGCAGGGAAGAGGAAACACTGTTTTTCCAAGAGGAAGAATAAAATAGCCACAAGAAATGTCTCTTTCTGTGTTAGAAAAGGTTGGATACAAGGCTGTTCCACTGCTGGGCTCTTCTTAGAGCTTCATGGTTCCTTAAGAGAATCATTCTATACACCACCTTTTGGTTCACGTGCAGACCCATCAGGAGACTAACCATGACAGCTCCTTTTATATGTTTCATTTCTAAGTTAAATTAACTAATTCCCACTCCAAAATTGAGGCATAGTCACATATACATTGATACCATAAGCTCTCTTTTAAAATGAACCATTGATGCCGTGATATTAACATGAAATCAACACAATTTATTTCCTAATGTTCACTATTTTTCACAAGAGAACTCACTGGAGATGTGCTAGCACATTCTGAAGACTTTACCAGCAGGTGTTAGACAACCTCAATCTATGTCATTATTGCACAGCGGTTAGGAGCACAGGAGACAGAATCTGACACATCTGTCTTCTAAGAGTGGCTTTGCCATTTCCCATCAGTGTGTCCTTGCCCAAGTAACTTCACCCTTCAGAGCTTCTGTCCCCAAATATGTAAGAAGGGATTATGATAACTTCTCAGGGTGGTTGTGACAATTAAACAAGATACTATATATAAAGCACATAGGACAATGCTTGTCACATAGTTAGATTTCAGACTGTGCTTTATTCTAAATGTCAACATTAAAATCTATTAATATTACATGTAAATATTTTTTTCAGGTGAGGTTTTAGGACTATTGGGACACAATGGAGCTGGTAAAAGTACATCCATTAAGGTGATTACTGGAGATACAAAACCAACTGCTGGACAGGTAGGTGAATTATGCAAAAAATATGCTATCTAGTGGTAAAATAAATTTGTTAAGGTGTTATAGCCTTATAAACAGTAAAATGCCATTTAAACATTAGATGATTGAAGTAATTAACACAATACACAGGAGAATAAATTCACAAATTATCATCTAAATGCACACAAAGATTAAACACTGAAAGAAGATTATTATTCATACCTTCAAAGGCATTAAGAGGGAATGTCCAGTATTAAATAAAAAAATCAGTATTAGAGTCCATACAAACCCTATTTATACTGCTATAAAATAAATGGATTTGTACTTTTAATGAACATTGTCTTCCCAGTATGTAACACTTTAATCTTGAGTAAAACTCTCAAAAACAAAACAAAACAACTTTATGCAACAGTTATATTCATTGCTCTTCACAAAGTGCTTAGTTACTGGAACATGCATTTTTCTACAAATACACTGTTTCTTGGGAGCATTTTAAAGGAATGGCTTAAAATGAGCAACTGGGATGTGAAGTCAACTCTAATTATACGTGTAATTTAATAGTATAAGGGGGCCAGGCAAACTAGGAAAAAAGCTCACGTTTTATCGGAGAGAGAGACATCGTGGGGTACAGATAAAACATTTTCTCCTACATCCTATGGCAGAAGGTGGAAAACCTCAAGGGCTCCTCTGGAAAGTATGTCAAGGAGACGAACAGAACAGAAGACAAGGGGCTGTGGAGCTGTGCCATGGGAAAGGGGTTGGCAGTCAAGGCCAGAAGGGAAAATACACCCAGGAATGCTATTGACAAATATCCAACTAGAGAGGGAGGGGAAACAGATGTTCTCAGTCCCTCTGAAGCCAAGATGACAGCAGGTGACCATGAAGGGACCTCTCAGTAGATGCTGGTGGTTCAGCCGACCCTGACTGGACTCCTTAACTTCAGTACGGACACCCTCCAATTCCATCACTACCCAGACTCTAAATCAGTATTTAATTTCTCATTAAGCATGGGAGGAAAGGCTATTACTGCTCACTGATACACTGGAATGAAATATTTTAAAAGGTAAGTGAGACCTGAAGTATAAAACCAAGTATTAGGGTGTCAAGAATCGAGCTTAATCAGATCAGCCAATGTGATTCTTTGAAACCGTGCCATTCTCCCGCCTTGTCTCGAGGGCCACTGCAGGGCTGACTTCACTGTCCCTTCTCTTTTGTCTTGTCCTCCTCCTCCTGCTCACTCAGCTCCAGGCGCCCTGCCTTTGCCTTGGGTCCAAGAACACTTTGAGCTTCATCCTTCCGCAGGGCTTTTCTCTCGCTCTTCTCTCTGCTGAAGTGGCCCCTCAGCAGACAGGCTCTCTCTAATCACCTTCCTAAAGTCACCTGCCTGTTATTCTGCACCCCAGCCTCCTGAATTGCCACCACAGCGCTGCTTCTGATCCGTCTTTGTTCTGTGTACTCATGTCTCTACTTGTTTATTGCCTAATTCACTCCAACTAACAGGGACACTAGTTATTCTGTTCTCCACTGTACGGCAGGTGACCCAGCATTTGTCACATAGGAGGTACTCAAAAGACATTTGATCAATGAGTAAAGTTAACTAGGGATTAATTTAATTAACAGGCTTCATTCTGAAAGAGATGAGAAACTGGATATAAACTGCTGGCGGGGATGGCAGGCACCACATTGGTGGGACATTGGATTTTCAGCTTGGATTAGGTTGCCTGCTGTGCGCACACTGGTTTTCGTGTATTCACTCTCTGACAATCTTTCTCTGATGCAAAGTGATTACAGATTATTAAACTCGATTAGGTCCTAGAGTTTCTCTAGCCTTTCTAGGTTTGGAAAGAGAAAGATGTCACAGAAACTCTCAGAGAAACAACGCAGAATGTAGGCTCGGAGAGTGAACTTTTGTCTGTAACTTTTATCTTTATCTGTAGGTGCTACTAAAAGGGAGCAGCGGAGGGGACAGCCTGGGGTTCCTGGGGTACTGTCCTCAGGAGAATGCGCTGTGGCCCAACCTGACAGTGAGGGAACACCTGGAGGTCTACGCCGCCGTGAAAGGGCTGAGGAAAGCAGACGCCAAGGTCGCCATCACACGGTACAGGGGGCGCCACGCCTGTTCTGCTCCACACCCAGGGGTGGGGCTGGGGCTGGGGAGCTGGGGAGTGAAGGGGGCTGGGGAGAAGTTTGGGAGCAACAACGTTCACAGGAAACTCAGGATGGGAGACTCTAAATGCTGACCCAGGTCATGCTGGACAGATTTGCAACTAGAAACCGGTTTTCCAGACTTTAAAGTGCTATTTATTTTTTTCTCACAATCAACATGGAAAGAAAAAAGTAACTATTCACTGATAAAATGTATCAAAAATACTAAAATTTAAACTACTTATTATAGAAAAGTACTTGGATATCATGGGTTGGGGGGCGGCGGGTATCAAACCAGGCAGTAGTTTGCGACCCCACACGACCACCACCTTGTGTATTTTCAGAATTGTGTTACTGCTCTGCTCCCACATCCTTGCTTGACCCATTTTCCTATCAAGGATCCTCGTGATCATGAAGACTGTAATGCACCATTATGTTTTCCTCAGGTTAGTGGATGCGCTCAAGCTGCAGGAGCAGCTGAAGGCTCCTGTGAAGACACTGGCAGAGGGACTAAAGAGAAAGGTAGGGGCAGGGCTCGGTGCTCCTCGGTGCACCCCACAGATGGGTGCTGGAACTGGCAGAGGGACTAAAGAGAAAGGTAGGGGCAGGGCTCAGTGCTCCTCGGTGCACCCCACAGATGGGTGCTGGACCGTCTGTTCCTCTTCTTCCAGCTGT